GAGAGAGAGAGAGAAAGGGACAAAGGAATTCTCGGATCGGAGTCGTCCTTCGCGCTCGAAGCCACGCGTATCCTGCAAAAACCGTTCCACTTCTGTTACAGTTGTTAGAGATATTTAGATTTAGGTTTTTACTCCGAGACTTTCCTCATTCCTCTTGGAGGGAGGGGAAGGCGGACTTAAATTTAGGAATAGTTTTTAAGGAGAATTTTTGCAAACGCCTGCGACTGAGTTCGACGATAACGGTATATAACGCTCAGAGATAATTAAGTCAGGGAAGGGAGGCGATCGTTGAAGGCTTCTTCTTCCTCCGCTTTTGTACGGCCAACGATGCGCCAACGATCGCCTTCCCGTTGCTACCTTTAACTTGTATAATATATTTTTATAAGTTTAACAGATTAACTTTTTCTATCGTACGTACGATGTGTGCCGTTTTTTACGAAAGATTTATACACCGATTTATACGCGCGATTGTTTTATGGAAGATGCCGATCATGATGCCAACGACGAGAGGGAGAGGAGGCGAGGGAAAATTCGACGTAGTGCAAAAGCAGCGATTATCTCCATGGAGCAATCGATCATAAGAGCGAATTTCTACGAAAGACTGGACAATATACCCGCATATATTACTTACTCGTCTCTAAGGGATGCACATGCCTTTTCTATCCTATATCCGTGCAAGGATCTTTTACTCGTTCTTTTTCTAATCTAATGAATTGCAGAGGCGCGAGAGCAGCAGACATTTTTTATATTCTTATATCGTATGTTATAGGAAGAAGCTCAATTGTATCGAACCATGGCATTCAGTGTAGCGTAATAAAAGTATTTATAGTACTTTGTAACAAGTTGGCTGCTGTATGCATGTACCCGTTGAGAAAAGAGAACGGAAAAAAAAAAAAAAAAATGAAACGAAGATTGGTGGAGGATAGCATTGTTTGTTCGATTAAACGTCGGTCGTTTAAACGGCTGTCGTGCTAACTTTTTATCCCGATTTCAGAATGAGAACCCCTCTTAACCCGTTACAGTACATTTGCGATAGTATCGAGCCAACAGCGAACCCTTTGCCCTCAGGGCTACATTTTTTGGTAATTGACCATCAAACTTTGAAATGACCAGAGAGTGCCTATCTTCCTTTGTTCCACCGTTCCACGTTTCTTTCTCCTTTTTCTCTCTTTTCTTTTTTCTTTTTTTTTTTGTCAAACCCTTCAACCGGCGTGTTTAATTGTAACTCGTGACAAGGATTAATCTCTCTAGTGTTATTTAACGCTCGTCGCTCGTAAAGAGAAGAAGAAAAAAAAAAAAAAACAAAAAAAATTTGTCTATCCATCGGCTAACAATATCTCGAACGAATACGAAGAGAGATGCTCGAAAACGTCGTATTTCGACATAAAGTCGGCGATTTATTTTTCTCTCGCGTATTCTTTGGGAATAAGAGGTAAATAGAAAATTTATTTCACGAACGTATTCCCCCGCGATATCGCCGAGGGAATCGCGGAGGTTTGAATTGAAATTCCATTTAAACCTGGCTTTTCCTGGATGTCTGGCGTCGGTGTTATCGCGATCTTTGAATTCAATCTCTTTGAAGCAAGTAGAAGCGCATAGATCGCGAGGTATTCCCGTAACCAGACAGGATATATAATCCCGAGCAGACTCGCGTCCCAAGTCAATATTTGTGTTACGTGAGAGGGGGAAACATATGGAACACGTTTTCTTGTGGACGCGATCGGGGAGCGACAAGGATGTCCCAGAAGAACGTGAAAATTCCGGTTTCTCGGAGGAAAAGACGGAGGAAAGTTATCGATTCGAGGTTTCGTATATTTTTCACGTATTTACAAAATTAAAAAATAATCAATATATATATATATATATATATATAACGTAAAATAAAAAAAAAAAAAAGAAAAAAGTTCTCTCGATAAATACGAAATACTTTACAAATAAATATATGTCATTAAGTACACACGATGTGACAGACTAACCGTGGTATCAAGATAAATCGTGATATTTCGTTCGAATAAAAAAAAAAAAAGACGAATGATCAATTAACGCAATACTTAAATAATTACGTTTGAGCAAATGATCGTCGCGATTTCTTTTGCACGATCAACCTGGCTATGTATATATATATATATGCGCACTTTTTTAATTAATTGACGTATAAATAGAAACTATACAATTAAAAATAATAATTATAGATATATAATTTGTCTGTGTTCGAGATTACGAGTCTCCATCCAGTAATAATAATTAGTCGTTAGCGACATGTCTTAATTAATTGGCGAAGCCAGCTCGGCGAATTAATGCCAAGTAGAAATCAAAAATGTATTTCGAGCGTGCAGAAACGGAAACTCGTTATTTTCCGTTCCCATTCTTATCTCTGCCTTTTAACCATTCTTCTTCGATCATCCACATTCGACGTTTTCCTTATTCTTCACGGAATCTTCGAACTTCTTATTTCTAACTTCCGCTCGTGTATTTCCCCTCGCCGAGATATCGAGCTCGAGAAGGTATCGTATCAATTAAAAAAAAAAAAGGAGAGAAACAAATGTCTGACAAAAGAGATGGTATCACTCGAGACGTCGATCATCGATGAAACTTTTCAACGATTCTCCGCCTCGCGGAGAACAGTTCCTTTATAATCATCCGAGTAATAACCCATACTTTTGGATGTAAATGCAAACGCGATACGAATCGCCGACGGGATTGATCGAGAAGCCGATTGTTTCGAAGCCCGCCTTGCACGGTTATGCAATTTCTAAGCAATCCGGGAGCTCGCGCACCGGTTATCCGCTCGTTCGCCTCGTACTATACGCAGCTACGATTCGAACGAGAATCGCGAATCGATCGGTTCCTCCCTCGTTTCACGTTTCTCGTGCATGCTGATCGACCCGTCTGCCCTCTCATCTCTTCTCCGCTCGCCGATGGATTCGAGGATTCCATCGTCGTCCCGCCTCAATCAACCCGCCGATTTTTCTTCTTTCTTTCTTTCTTTCTTTCATTCATTCATTCCTTTTTTAACGATTCGAGGAAATGGCGGCCGTCCCGTGGCGTATTCGAGGCAGGAACGAGATCCTCGCGTCTTCAATAGTAGGAATTATCCTGGTAATCGGAATAGCGGAAAGGGTGACGCGCCGCTGCGGTTCCATCCGGTTTCAGCAGAAAGAAACTGGTCGGCTTGCCGTTGAACTCGTACGGGCCTTTGTCCAGCTTGTGGACCGAATCGTGATCGGGTTTGTTGGTCGGTTTCACGTTGGCCTGCCACTGATAAATAGCGGTCGGTTTCCCATTGGTCACGAAATCGGCGGAGAGGGTGTCCAGATTGGTGATCGGGGTGTCGGTCGGTTTCTTGTTCGTCTTCTTCTGCCAATGGTAGACCGAGGTCGGTTTTCCGTTGCTCACGAAATCGATGGGCAGTTTGATGAACGGGTGGTGGTGGTTAACAACGGATTGCTGGTACGCGGGTCTCGGTCTTCCGGGCCTCTTGTACGGCACGAGCGGTTGAAGGTTGGCCGTCGAATAGGTGGGCGGTTGCGAGATGTAACCCAACCCCGGTACGAACATGTACGGCGTGGGTGGTAGCCTGATGTAGAAGATGTTACTTTCCTGCAAATTATTCGAATCGGCCACCGTCCTATCCTCGGTGTCGAACTTGTTATTAGGATAATCGATGTCGTAAGGGACGATGTCGTTGGGGAATGGAAGCTGCGGTACGAGCGGGTAATCGAGGAAAATGGCTTTATGCCTCCGATTCTTCTTGCCCGTCTTGTCGTCTCTCGCTTCGTTGATGATGCGTTTGAACGAGCGGGTGCCGTCGGGCTTGCCCTCCGCTCGATTATTATCCTGAATCGAGGAAGAGGCTGCTGGTAACGAGGATTTCGAAGACTCTTTCGTTCCACCGTCGGTCTTCTCTGATTGCTTTTTTGTCGACCGATTCGTCGCGTCCTTGCCGGTGACAATCCCTGTTTCCGTGGAAACTGGAACCGCGTCCTTGTCCCGTGAAAACAATCGAACGTTCGGCGGGGTGTCTCGGAGAGGCAGCGCCGCGACGGATGCCACGAAGAGGACCAATAAAACCAGCGAGATCTTCTTCATGATGACACTGGAAAAATACGAAACAATCTCATTGTTTTCGTTCGCTTTACGGACGAAGACGAGAGAGTCTTCGACGAGGAATCGAGACCGATCGAAAATATCGTTGATCAAAAAGAATTTTTGCATTTCTTTCTTCTTGCAAGCGAGATAAAAAACGAAAAATCGATTTATTTATTCGGACGAAGGTCGAATAATCAGCATCGTGCATTCAGGATGCGGCGCGCGTATAATCCGGCTTATAAACAACATCTACAAAGCGTTACCCCTTTCCCGTGCGGGGAATCAGATTAAGTTATTAGGAACTTGGAACGAGATGGTCTACGCGCGCGCGAAATATCACCCTGACCGATATATACCCCGACGCATTATCGTTACACCTCGAAAATTAACTCGGTCGACCGGTCTATTCGGTCGGCTAATGCGACAACCGAATGACATTAAGCACGCGAAACGAAGAGGACGCGCGTACACCCTGGATGAGAGCGCGTCATCGGCCAACGAGCCGAGACAAATTCTCCATCTCGTGGCCTCGAGGACGGAGAATACGTTTTCTCGACCAACGTGTATTCCGCTGCTCCTCCTTTCGTCGCCTTTCGCCAATCTTCTTATTCTTCCCCGACATGGAATAAATCACGCGTGGTAGAAAACGTAAGAGAGAAAAAAAGGAGCGAAAGGAAACAGGGGGACAAATTCCGCGCGGTATTTAGACGAGGAGCGTGCATTCCGCGCGTCAGCTTTCTTTTCTCTCGCGCGAGCGCTACCGCGCCGCGAATCGAAGGGAACAAGGAGAACAAGAACACCAGGAATGGTAATTGAAAGCGGGTTAGAAAATCGTCGAGTCACGCATTCCTGACCAAAGAGGAGAGGAGAGGAGAGGGAGAACTCCTCCTCGAAGACCTTGCAGAAGGTCGATCGGATCGACGGAGGGAAAAGGAGAGAGAGAGAGAGAGAGAGATGATCGTCGATCGAGAGTTGATTTTGCAAGTCGAGTGTTGCTCGTCGATCGATCAGTGGTGGTTTTGTTAATTGTTAATTGCCACGATTCGTCGCAAATCGGTGAACTCGTTGATTTTGGCACGCGATTCGATCCTCGAATCTTCTACTATTACAAGAAACGAACATTGGAGAGAGCTTCCTCTTCCATTTTCTCCTCCCGATGACTCGTTCGAAATTATCGTTCGGCCGGTTGTTTATTATTTTCGAGCGATGCTGAATACCCTGGCGAGTATTTTTAATTAAAGCGTATAGAACCTCTTCCATTCGAGACCGTGTAATCGAAGTGGTGGAGGGGTTGGTTAATGGTTTCGAATTAGCACGTTTTACATTCACGTTCTATCGTGTTTCCATCTTAAACGGGTGTCGAGCCCGATTGACGCTCCTCCATTCTTCGTTCCTCGAGATGGAAATTGAAGTCGAGGTAATTAAAGTCAAGCTCAAACACCTCGAGCAAGGTAAACTTTATAAAGGGGCGTATAAGCGTAATAGTCGAATGAGAGGGTGAGACTTCCTCGAGACGAGATTCAAACTGCAACGAGTGTAATTAAAGAGTTTGACTGATCGATTTAAAGGATAATGGCGGCCCGTCATCGTTTACGATTAAATACACGGTTGATCGTTACACGATACCTCGTTATTACCGGCGTCGGTTTCCTTTTGCTCCAGCTGACCGCTGTCAGTAAGGTAAATCGACTACCTTTCCCCTCGTGGATCGTGCAGTCTGCAGAGACCTGTGTTATCCGCGAGTGGTCTTGTTTCACCTGTCCTCCCTGCCTACCTGTTGACAACGAGCTCCATCTCTCGTATCTCCGCTTCCACGAAAAAGGGTTTTGCATAAAATCTTCAATTTGTCGTTCTTTCCTCCGGAGGAGCATCATCTCCCTGTACGATACGATTTCTTTTATTTTTCCAATCAGAGACGGAAACCTTGTGCGACACAACAGTTTATAAAGTGTCAGGTGTACAGGACGTAAGAACAGTCCTCGAGTTCTCGCTTTCCGCTCTTCCTTTTGCGCCGTCCTTCCAATCGTGTCTTTCTACCCTTCAAAAAATATACACTCGAGACGCTGCTTCTCCAACATCCTTGATATTTCGAAAGGTGTCGAGGATTTTCGAGGATGAAGATTATATATAACGATACAGAGAAAGTCGAATTACGAGATCATCAAACCTGTCTCTCGCGTCGACGAGATTCTCTTTCGAAGATCTCGAGATCTCCGCTCCTCTTTGCTCCTTTTTCATCGCCGCCGCCATTTTCAACCGGCACACCGTTATTTTGCCGAAATGAACCGGCCGGTACGCGTACACGCGTATCTTTTTACGGGCATCTTTGTCAAGAACGGCACAATGTATCCGACTCGTGACAAGAAAGACGAGACGAGAATCCAAAGAGGCTTGGTACGGGAATATTCACGGGATAAAAGGTTCCTCGACGCGGATCGCACCTTCGTCACGTGTCATTAGAAAATTCTTCTCTTCTTCCGTTAGCTCCCGGTGTTGTTCGAGAATTCTTCTCGAATCCTTCGATCCTCGAAACGCCAAATTCACAGTTCCGACAAATATTATAAATTATATATAGAGCGGCATCGTGCCAATAAATCGTTCGATTTATTATGGGATTGATCGAAAAGATCAACACGCGTATAGAACGATTCTATTATCTTCCAATGATTAACGATGCTTCGTTTTTTCCTCGAAATTACATTAACGGTAGCAATCGAAAAGTGTGTGTGTTTTCTTTCGAATTCGATCAAATTTCTCGAAGTGTGTGCCCCTGATTTCGAAAAGTAACGGAATTAAACGAAAGGTAAAACGTCGCGCGTAAAATCATCGGGAGAAGAGGCGCGTTGTTATCAATCGAGATAGGCAAATGGATATAGATTGGATATATGAAAGAAACTAGGCTTTTATATAAATAAATATCGCGGATGATTAATTTATCATCGTGAATGATAATTTCGCATTTTATGTGTCTTTCTTTTTTTTCCACGGTTACTTTCTCGTCAACCCTCAATTCTCGAGGACGAAGAGAGAGCGATAGAGAGCGAAGGTAATGGCCACCGCATTGTTGATGGCCAAATAATGACATGTTAACTTATAATTACATTATAAGTTTTCGAAGCGGAAATTAGGCCATTTTTTCCACCGATTCCGACAAACGGATTCGACGTGTATACACGTATATACGGATAAAAAAGCTCGTGTTATTTTTAATTAAAAATTTTCTTCTTCCTTTGCATTAAACGAAAGGAATGATTTTGTGAGTTGAAAGTTTTTTTTTTTTCCTCCTTTTTTTAATCATCTCTAAAGAAGACGAAAATGGATCTTCTTTCGAAGCAAGGTCCTCAATTGAGAATTCCTTTCTACCAGGTACATCTGACGTAAGCTACGTGACTCAGGTTCTCATTAACTGAGGGAAATGGACGTGGAAAAGTGCCGCGTACGTTTCGTAGCTCGTTACGCGATCGGGCGCGACTCAAAAAGTCGCGATGCATCTCGGCTTTAACGGGTTTTCGAAGGACTCCATAATGTTGCATGACCTCGCTTCTCTCCATTTCTATCCTCGTGGGATACGATCCTCGCGATTACGCATCCCTTTTTCGCTTTTAGATCTTCATCCTTCATATGAATTTTTGCCCAATTTGCCAACTTGTTATCTACCTTTATCCATCCAATTTCGATGGATAAAGGTAGATAATTGCGGCAAATAATTTTTAATAAACAAGATTTCTCGTTTCTAGACGCAGGTAGTTCCTCCTTTTCTCTTTCAATCATAATTGAAGCCTCGTTTAGGATTACTTTTGGAACGATTTCATCATTTTTGCTGGTTATCTAATAGGAAATGGATACTTCGAAGAAAGTGATTCTTGGAACGTTAATCCATTGTATGTAATGTGTTTCTAAATATAATACATATGTTATACAAATAGATGATTAGAATTAAAATGACATGATAAATTTGAAAAAAAAAATACTTTTAACGAATAATTTTTAGTTATTTAAAAAAAAAGAAACGGATAATAATTCGGATTACAAATTATTTGGAACGCTAGCACGAAAATTCACGTGAAAGAACGACCCGTATTTCGGTCCACGGTGCTCCTCTCTGTTCGTTCATGCGTTTCTAATGAGCCAATTTTACGCCACTGATTTCCAGTACGCTATATAGCTACATAGTAAATGTTCTAACTTCAACCAAATAGAATTTTCATACTCTGATTCATTCGATGCTTGAGTAAATGCGAGGAACACATGTTGCAAGGTCAAAGGCATCCATAGTCCTTTGTGACTAGTTGCAAACGATCCTGTTTGTCCGACAAAGTGTACTTCCGTTTCTTCTTCAGGCAGACTTTTGATGCAGCGGATACGATTGATCGTTCATTCGACTAGCGAGCTAAACGTCAAGTTTAACAAAAATAATACCTTGTTAAATATTACGATATCTTTGTTTATTCTTGATAATAGCTCCGTTTCACGAGATCCTGAAATTATTTATTAACGCGTGATACTACCTGCTGCGAGAGTTAATTCAAGGGTACGCGATTAACTATATCCTGTATATCCTGTTGTAAAATCGTGAAAAAAATTTTATCGACCAATTTTTTCTTTTTTTTCTCTCCTCTCTCGACGAGAAGCTGTTTTTAGCAAAGTCTCGAGGCAACGAAAGTTACGAGCTAGTCAAGAAATAGGAAGTAAGAAGAGGTATATATATATATATATATAGTGTAGTTGGAAGTATCGCAGGAGAGACGATAATTTAACTATCGTCAATTTGAGCGTCATCGAAGGTCGCACGTGGCTCTTCTAACGAGCGAGTTTGCTAGACTTTCTCATAATTGCACCGGCAGTCACGAAGGCTGCAGGTGGTTCTCGCGAGATCCCAATCATGTGAGTCAAGGTATTCTGAGACTTTACACAATGATGCGTCCTCTTCTACACGCTACAACTCTGGATTCCGGATTTATGAGATTCAGTCTAATTTCCTAACTGTACACGATTGTTCTTTTCGGAATGCAATCGTTCACCATCTCGCTGGATCAACGT